AGAGACAAGATCCTAGAGAATAGCCAATCCAATCTCTGATTATTTTGGAGAGGAGAATGAGCCTAGAGTTTTAGAGTTGCCAGAGAAGAGAAAAAGAGATAAGAGGAGAGGAACAATTTTTCTCATCATAATATCAATCACGCTTCAGTGTAATTATGTATATGTCCATGCCACCCAGGACTCCAATAAGCCAGGTTCCATGTCAGTCTCAGTCATTATATATCCCTAGTACTTAGCACAATGCTTCTCAAAAACAAGTGGATGAATGGATGAGTAAATACGTGCTTAATGTGAACTTGGGGAAGATTCTGAACCTCATTAAGCATCACCATCATGTTTAAAAAATGTTACTAGAGAAAAATTTTAAAAATACATAAAAATGCTTAGCAATGGGCTTTGCTCAAAGAAACACTCATGTATTTATGGAATGACTGACTGACTGAATGAATGTAGCCAAATATAAGGAAAATATCTGTTTCTCTGGAAACTTCAGCTACAAGACATAGACAAATAGGAAAAGCTTTTGGCATACCTTCATCTAATGACTCAAAGAAGAAGCGAAAGAGAAAATATAAAACAAAACCCCAATACACAATAAGGAACTTAAAACAAACAGAAACAATCTGTTAAAGGAAAAATGGTTGTTTATTCTACTCTAGAGAATAATCCTAGAAAGAATAAAGAACACTATAAGCCCAGTCGGCAGGGCTCAGTGGTTGAGTGTAGACCATGAACCAGGAGGTCACGGTCTGATTCCCAAGCAGACCACATGCGTGTTGTGGGCTCCATCCCACGTGTCGGGTGTGCAGGATTCTCTCATCATTGATGTTTCCATCTCCGCTCCCTCTCCCTTCCTCTCTGAATTCAGTAAGAATATATTTAAAAAAGAGAGAGAGTACTGCCCTACCTGATAAGATCCTGACTTCGGCTTCATTTCCTGTCCTCGAGCTGGCTGGATTGCGGGCTGAGCACCGGTAGATGCCCGTGTCCCCGGGCTGAAGTCTGCTGATCTGCAGTGCGCCGGAGGGCAAGACCACCACCCGGGAGTCGCCCAGGCCCGGAGCCAGGTCCTGCTGGTTTTTCTGCCAGTGGATCGTGGGCATGGGCTCCCCAATGACTTCACACTTGAGTAACACCGTGTCCCCCATGAAGGCCGTGACAGACTCTGTCTGGGAGAGAAACCTCAGAGGTCCTGTGGGAAAAAACAAGAAGGGAGGGTACAGCTTTCAGAGGAGATGTGACAGTCACCAATAGAAATCATCGCATTTGTATTGTGTATAGAAAACGGTATTTTCTCATATTTCATCTCATTTGCTTTCTCATTTTACCACAGTATGTGCCTGGCACTGCAATAGTTTCTGGGGCTAAAATCCAACAATGATGCGGCCATTAACCTCTAGAAGTTCACTGTTCTGTTGTTATGGGTTAATAAAGGAGCCTTGTGAAATAATAAACAGAGCAGACAAGGTCTTCCTCATGTATACATTAGGAAATGGAGGCGCAGAAAAGTGAAATCCCACAAATAAATTCCCAGTGGTTACGTGGTAATCCTGCAAATGAGACTTGCTTCTTTTTGATCCGGGTCCATGCTCATTCCATCATCCCACTTTGAACAAAGAACTATTAAATATGGGATTATGATGAACTGGCCACATGGCATAACCTAGGGCAGCTTCAAGAAAAAAATGGGCGATATTAACCGCGGATTATAGTAACAGAGAACAAACTGTGATGGGCTAATGGCTTAAGGCAAATACGCATCCATATTTGTCAGTTAGGGTTGTGGTGTAGAGAAAAAATGCTAAAGCTGTGGGGGGGGGGTCAATGGGGGAAAAAGGGGAACATATGTAATAATTTTTACAATAAAGAATTTAAAAAAAGAAAATGTAGGGGAAAGTGAAAAAAATAAAACAAATAAACCAATCAACTGTTAGTCCCTGAGCACAAGCATTGCTAGAGAAGCCTCCTTCGTCATCGTGACGTTATAATGTGAAAGGGTAGATGATGCTGTAATCCTGCCCTCTGAAACCCCTTATTTTGAACAGATGGATAATTGTGACCCTAAAGCTTTGACCATAAGAACTATTTTTATAATTGCAAATAAACATTATTATATAGACTGTGCCATTACTGATAGATGAACTTTATTTTTAGAGTAACCTCAATTAAGTAATTCTAATTCATTGACTCATGTGCTAATCTTCACAATTATATTACAATATTTCTATTTTCATTTTAATCTTACTCAAAATTTTTTCATTGTATGTGCATTTCAGATAAAGTTTTAGTCATATATAAATTTGGGGTTCACATTCAGTTTTGCTGATATTTTATGTAATTTTTATTTTAAAGATTTATTTTAACTAACTCAAAATTTGCTAGGTTCAGGTTTAAATTTTATTTAGTCAATGATTAGTCTATAATAAATTCCATTTTATTCTATTTTAAATACTGTTGGTTTTATTTGGGATTTATTGATTTTCACAAA